AATTATACATGTATACTAATTAAATATACATAACTATTATAAATAATATAATATATAATATATTAATTAAATATTATAAATTAGCAACATAATTTTATTAGATTTGTTTTAAATTGGACACACCTTACTGGATTTATAATATATACATAATTAGTATACATATGTCATTTAGAATTTTATTATAACGTTTTAAATTATATAATTAAATATTATAAATAAATCATATAATTTTATTATAATTACAGTTGGACACACCTTACATTTCACATTGGCTTTAAACCCTTTTGATAGAAAGGCATTTTCATAAATGCTTAATATCTACCTGGATGTCTGTTCTTTCTTTCTTTCTTTTTTCTTTCTTTCTCACTTTCTCTCTTTCTTTATTTCAATGGATCAGTTGGAGCAGCACACATGTGAACTCCAGTTTAAAAATCATGTCAGGACGCACATCATGAAGATTTGCGTAACATTTGTTCAGAATTTTTTGATTGTACTATTATGCTAAAAAGTGGAAAACAGCCATGATTAGGTATTGACTGATAGCGTAAGTACAGCACTCAATGCACTCGTCTGCTTACATGAAATGTGCGTTACATTCTGCGTAATCATGACATATAGGCTATGGGTTTAATGTGATCTTTTGAGCGTGTGTTAATGCAGGTGCTTCTGCTCTTTATTTCCTGACAGGCTGAACAGCGTGTTCTCTGCTCCCTGTTGAGTTTATTCTGAGAAAACGACGCTGTTGCATCTAAACGGTTCAATTTGGCTCGTGAGCATCGCAACCCCGCGACCCCACGTCCATTCATAAACTCCACTCATTCACCTCTGATTGGTCCGGCTGTAAACTGGGAGGAGATATGGTTAGATTAAAGTACAATTAGCTTTACCGCGTATATTCATACATTTCATCTTCATCCTAGGAAAGGTTTTTATAACGCACACGGAAAATAAGTTAATCAAGAGGACGATTCATGCATGCTTAAGCGCAATTGGTGACATTTTAGTGTAAAAAAAATTAGAAAGCATGGCGAATCAGAGATAGACGCATTTACAGGTGGAGACACAGAAGAGCCATCGGTGTCCTTTTCATCAATACACCCTGAAATCCTAGAAGAGGGCCTGCAGTCACTGCTGGATGGACTAGAATGTCTACAGCCACATTCAAACAGGAACCAAAGAGAAAAGTTGCGCTCTCAATCCATGCAGGCTTTTCCGAGAAGACGCGCAGCGCGTAAAACGCACGAAAAGGGAAGCAGGGCAAGAAGAAGTTAATAAAAAGTCATAAAAAGCTGAAGGGGGTGTAAAGCAAACTTCTCGAAGACAACTTCTTGGACTTCTCAGAGCTGAATTGAACAAAGCGTTCTCCCATGAGGCTGGAAGGTGCCAGAATGGACTTGATCAAAAAAATATGGACGGCTCGGAAACTAATTCTCGTGGTGATGATTCCTTTATCGCTGCTGCCTCTGCCTCTCATCCACCCGTGCAGTGTAAGTAGATCCTCATCAGTCATTTCCACGATCGCACGGCGCGCTTTTACGCGCTGCTTACTTTTGGGCATGTGCACTATATTGTGCGTTTAAATGCATTTTATTTAAACGTTATCGCTTTTTATGTGGGTTTAAGTAGATTTTAAATAAATTATTATTATTAATTCATTATTAAATTATTATTTTGATTATTTTAGTCCGCAAGGAATCTTTATATACGTGGAAAATGTGTGCAGACATAAATGAAACGCTGTTTTAGAGGCAAACAGACAGGTTAAATTGTATGTCTTAAACATTATAATTATGATATGGCTAATTATTAATTGATTATGGCCTCCTGGGGTTACTCGAGGAGCCGTCGCGACCTCTCACCTGATTGGTCGTTTTCCAGGTGCGCTATATCAGAGCCGTGATGGTTCAAGTGCGCCGATGTTCTGACGGGAATTGTTTGTTTGAAACATCTGCAGGTTTTACAGATGTTGTTTGTGTGTGTAGCAATTGGGATCTCAGATTCAGTCCAACATCAGCAAAGCCTGCAGAGAGGCATCGCGCTTATTTGATCGGAGACGTCATCTTGAATCCTACAGAAAAATCGCTTGCAAATCGTTTTAGTGAATTTCATTTTTTCATACATACAGGTGCATCTCAATAAATTAGAATGTCGTGGAAAAGTTCATTTATTTCAGTAATTCAACTCAAATTGTGCCATTCTTACGCAAAATGAGATTATGAGAACAAACCGCATAAAGACTTTTCTTTCTTTTCACGTTTAATTCAGTGTCGTTTCTTTAGAAATGTATAGGCTAGTTCAGAGTGTTTCAAAGTAAACCCACACCATTTATTTTGTCAGTGTATGGTGAAAAAAAAAAGATTGAAAAAATCAGATGTGCAGAAAATTACTAAAATGAGTGCTTAGCCTATTTCATATATTTACTCGAAATTCTCTAAAAATTGAAAAATAAAAATATATAGATATAGGCAGATTTCTTACTAAAAACTGGCCAGAAATCACAATGCATTTATGCATTTAGCAGATTTGTAATTTTTTTGTAGTGTCCTGTGGTGACACTGCCATGACATTACTATAATTTATATAAAACATTTTTGTAATAGGTGCAGTTTATGCATGGATTATTTGTACTTGTAATTAATTTTTCACACTGCAGGGCCATTTCAATTGAGAAAGCAAATATGTTAACTAACTAAATGCATGAATGAATGAATGAAGCGGTGACAGGATCTAAGAAATACACTTACACATAAATAAAAAGTACCTAAACTAACATAAATATAACTAACTTCGCCTAAAATCTTACTGCTGAAGTATCCAATTCCTTACTAAAAAAAAAAAGTTTAGAAATTTTCACAAATAATTACAAAGAAAGGGCAAGAAGAACATTAAGTTTAATGCTTAATTTTGAAAAGCAGAAAGACTGAAATAGTATTTTCTGATAATTATTCACAATTTCAGTATAATATCATGCATTTGGGAGATGCTTTTTTCCAAAGCCACTCACATTATAATGAAATGAGACACATGATTCAAATTGATCTAAACAGCAGAAGCCAATACAGGCAAATGTGGAAACGTCATTATCTTCTGCCTTGACAGCTTTTCTTGCAATTCCAAAACATGTTTAAGAACCTTGCACAGGTCTGCTTATCTCTCTCTGACAGAGTCAGAAATAAAGGGGTTAGTTCACAATAGTTCACTAACCCCATCTCACCCGCCGACTGAAAGCAATTATTCACACAAAACAATTATGTATGCTAATGAATGCAATGTGTGTGTGAGTCCTGCGGTGAAGCTCGTGTTGATGTCGAAACAGAACCGTGTCGTTTTAAGTGCGTTTCCAAATAAAGTTGCTTGATGTGTAATCATCTAATGATCAGTTATCATCAGTTTCCTTTATCATCAATGCCCCATCGGACCTTCTAACAGAAATCAGCTGGATCTGATGGACTGATTTCTTGAGCAATGATGAGATTAGAGCAGAACAAAAAGCAATGTGCCAATAGAGGCTTAATCTGCAGCGTGCCACATAACTGACGGCCTTCAGCACAGTTGGGCGGTAATGAGAAAGCAGAAAGCTGCTGGCTGGAGTTTCTGAACACAGCAGCACGCTGAGGGATAATCAGCTTTGGCGGGAGTGCTGAGAGACAGAAGAAAGGCCAAAAAACAGACGACTGTGCCCATGCTAAATTAGTGCTTACTTAATAATGCTTTATAAATGTCATGTGTACAATGGTAACACTTTACAATAAGGATCCATTAGTCAGCATTAGTAATGCATTACCTTACATGCACTAAAAAGAAACAAATTTTCATGTAGAAATTGCTAGTAAATATCACAAATACTCAGTAATTACTAAGAACAGGCCAGTTTTGAAGCTGAAAAACTCAAATGGTATCTTCTTGTAACATGTACTCCAGTAATATTTGTTTGATTTACTATTTTGAAAAATCATGTTTACAGTGTGCATACAAAAAGTTGGTGCGGAAACAATTTTTCACTCAGAAATGGCTAGTAAATTTCACAAATAATTACAAAGAAACGGCAAGTAACACATTGAGTTAAACGTGAAATTTGGAATAGAAATTCTGAAATAGTGTTTTCTTGCAAAACGTACTCTGATGATCTTTGTGTTATTTGAAAAATAATTTTTACAGTGATTTTTTTAAAGTATTTATTCATCTTTGTTAATGTTAATAAAATACAACCGTTCATGTTAGGTCTATTAAATAATATTAGCAGGTAAAACTTTTGATTTTAATAGTTAGTATTAATTAGTAAATGTTAGAATTAGCGTAAACTATTATTAATAAATGCATTTTTCATTGTTAGTTATGGTAACTAATATAGTTATATAATGTAAACAAATGGAACCTTATTGCAAAATGTTACAATGAAATACAGTGTAAAAATTATTTATTATTATGAGTACATTTTACAAGAAAATACAATTTTAGCCTTTTTACTGCAAAATTTCATGTTTGCAGTCTCGTTGCTTTGTATTTGTATTTTTGTTTTTGGTGAAATTTATTAGCAATTTCTGACTGAAAGTGTTTTTCAGGGTATGAAGAAATAACACTAAAAAAGCAAATCAGATGTGCAGAAAATTCAAATGAGTCCTTATGTAATATTTACTGAAAATTCTCAAATAATTGAAAAATAAAAATATCTGTAGGCGGATTTCTATCAATAATCATAAAACTGGCCACAGATCAGCGCCTCTCTACATCCTCCTCATTAGCCTGATGTATTTATAATGTCTGGAATATGTGACCATGTATTAACTTTGCTTTGCTCGGCCTGTTATAAAATCTGATTAATTATGAAATATGAGTCACCTGACAAATGCTCGTTCAGTCAGCCTAAGCTCCGCATGCAGACTTCACACGGCTGAGGTGATTCACATGTGCTAACATCATATTTGTGTTTGTTGTTTGCTGGACTCACGTGAAGTGTTGTGTGCCCAGGTCCACATATTTGGCAGGGCAATCCGGATTTGGATTTTTGTCCTGATTTGCGGACTGACGCACATGCTTTCCTGCTGTTTTGCTCATAATTTGTTTAAAGTAATGATTTCCTCCTGCACTTTACATGCAAATCTCCTGTTTATATTTGTAGATGTGCATGTAATCAGCTCTTTATCTTATTTAAGAAGATTTTATAACTGATCAACTGCATAAATACAAATGATTTCCTCAAAACAGATCTTGCTATATTTCATATAGTCACCCAGTTTATAATACACTCAATTTAAAATGGCTTGTTAACAATTTCTTGGATGTACACATAGTACAAAACAGTGCAGACAGTACAAAAAGCATGCTGTGGCAAGTCATAAGCATGACTCAAATTTCTGTTAACCTTTTTAAAAATGTTAATTTAAATAAAATGAGAATTGTAATTATATATATATATATATATATATATATATATATACACACATTATTAAATCACACAGACACATACATAACATTATTATAATATATATTTCTATATTTAAATATTTAATTTTGTTAAATTATTTAATTTAATATTTATATGATATTACAGTATACGGTATATTGCTAGTAAGAAATATCTGTGGCTGGTATTTTTCAAATTCACCCATTAGTACAAAGTTCTAAAAGACAAATAAATGTACTTTTTTCTTTTTGTATTTTTGTGAGTATTTTGAAATCAGAATTGGTAAAAGCTATTAGTTTACTCATCAGCAATATTGATTTTTCTGTCAGTAAAGGAAAAACCCCAATTAACCACAATTTGCAATATGATCTATGTTTTCAAGCTCTTTGTATTGACTGATTATTGGAAATCAATGCGAGATGGGCAAAGCTTTCTATTGTGTGACTGGTATTGTGTGTTTTCTGCTGACTGAAGAACATCAATTCAAATGTAATATAAACTGATACAAATATACCTCAAATAGGCCTATACTTGCAGTGAAACTGTACAATAACAGTCTGCACTGTTTGTTTTAGACTTTGTGTTGTTACAGTAACGCAAACATCCTTCTGCAGAAAGTTGTTGGTTTTAATTAAATTATAAATAAATAAAATATTATAAATAATATTTATTGTAAATGTAAATAATACACACTGAAGTTTGACCTTCAGCATTGCTTAATATAATTCCATCCCGAATCAAGGAAGTGTTTAGGTCACTTTATGAAACATGTTCTGAGTCTGTAGGAATCATCGTGTGCGTATGTCCTGATCGTGACAGCGGTGTACTGGGTATCTGAAGCCGTGCCGCTGGGAGCCGCTGCACTCGTCCCGGCCTTCCTCTACCCGCTGTTCGGGGTCCTCAAGTCCAGTGAGGTAAGAAACCTCTCTGTGCTCTTTCACTGTGTACAGTAGGATGTTTTGTGCAACAGGAAAGAACCTCTTTACGTAATCTTTTTTGCTGACTGCAGGGATTTTGGGTTGGAGATATATATATATATATGATTTAAAACTTTCAAGAAATGTTTCTTGAGCACCAAATAAGCATATTAGAATAATTTCTGAAGGATCATTGTGACACTGAAGACTGAAGACTTTGCATCATAGTAATTAATTACATTTTAAAATATATTCAGATAGAAAACAGTTATTTTAAATTGTAATAATATTTCACAATATTTACTATTTTTACTGTATGTTGGGCAGCATAAGAAACTTCAAAAAAGTAAAAAAGAATCTTACCAATCCTGAATTTTTGAATGGTAGTGTAAATAAAATAAAACAAAAAAAACAGCGTAATTTATGCCAGTGTTTTTTTGCAGGGTTGAAATGATGTTGCAGTTCTTTAGCTCAGTGATAGTAAAGGCTTTAACTGCGTGTGGTGGGCAGAGGTCAGAAAATAAGTCAGAGGGGATTGCAATAAAAGCTCAGAGTTCCCATAAACAACAGTGAGTTTTCTGTCATACTGACAATGTACTTATAAGCATGTTCGTAAGTTCAAGTGAGAGCCATCCTAGGTAACAAATTTAGGTTATAAAAACGTTGTGGGAGCATTGTTTTAAAATGTTTCTAATATCCAGTTGTCTTGTTTTGATTACAATGTTATTTAAAGGTTACATTTTTTTCTTAAAACATTCTAATAGCTTTATCTTCACCCAAAATATAATGTTATTTGAATGTTTTTTTTTTTTTTTTTTAGCATTCTAAGTAGGGCTGGGTTAAAAATGTCGATATCTCGATATTAATCATTTCTCTTTTTTACGGAACGATATCGATTCTTAAATCCCAAGAATCGATTATTCTAGCCTGTTTTCAGTTAATGGACGGAACATTGAAGGACACTTCCCATCCAATAAATCGCAATAAGCACTGTGCTTTTAATATGAAGGAAAGTCTCAGATTTCAAATTCTGTCCATCCATTGTATTGCAGTATTTAAACAATAAATGCCGTTTTGACGCTGTTTAATGTGGAGTGACAGATCTCTGTAGCGCCTCAGTTCAACAGACGCAGCAGCGCGAGGCGCACGTGAACTGATAATCTCCTCCATCTTAATACCAGTTTCAGCACAAAATAAACATGACTAAACATCCGAAGCTAAGTTAAAAGAAAGAGTACAACTTTACAAGCCCTCATGTAATCTCTCAATCAGTGTTTCGTCCGCTCAAAGACGTCAATATAAAGTCTTGTAAACAATGTCACATAATGTCACATTTACCTCAGAAACAAACATATTCGGTGACCATAAACTCGTTACTAGTTAGAAAAATAAACTGTAGAGAGGGGCATTTTGCGAAATATATGCACAATATAACATATTCATTATAATTTTTACTGTTCTTATGTTTAATTTCTGTTTGAATAAATCCATCAATTTTTTATGACAGCCACCATTTAAATGTTTATATTAAAAAAAAAACGAATTGAAGTAAAAATATTATTATGTAATTGTAACTTTATTATTTTAAAAACTTCATTAAGTGTAATTTTATGTACCTGATATATATCCAAAATAATCGATATTGAATTGAATCGAAAGCTTGTGAATGAAAATCGAATCGAATCGTGAAATTTGTGTCAAAACCCAGCCCTAATTCTAAGAACATTAAAATATTGAGCTTTCTTGTCATGATTAGACATTATTTAAAGGTTACAAAAAAAAGTTTCTTACAACATTCTAATGTTTATTTTTTACCCAAAACATAACATTTAATATTCTAAAAACGTTTTCTTGTCATAATTAGAACATTAAAGGTTACAAACATGTTTTTACAACATTCTACTAACTTTATTTTTGCTCAAAATATAACATTATCTGAACGTTTCTAAACATTCTTAGAACGTTTCAATGTCCAGATTTGATTAGAATGTTTTTTTAAATGATACAAATATGTTTCTTAGAATGTTCAAAAATGACATCATAAGGATGATCCAAGAATGTTGATCTTAGAATGTTTTCTCTCAATGTTCTAAGAACGTATCTGAAATATTATTCAAGTTATAAGAACATTTCATAAACATGACTTTAAGAACGTTTTGTCCTAGCATTTCAGAAACGTTTAGAGCCCTGTGTGTTTGCAGGTGGCCTCTGAGTATTTTAAGGACACCACGCTGCTGCTGATGGGGGTGATCTGTCTGGCCGCCTCCATTGAGAAGTGGAACCTGCATAAACGCATCGCTCTGCGGATGGTCATGATCGCCGGGGCCAAACCTGGCATGTATGTATTCAGCAGGTGTAACACACACGCACTGCTGCAGACGGACTCTGTGAGCTGCATGTGTTCTGCTTGTGTTGTAGGCTGGTGTTGGGCTTCATGTGCTGCACGGTGTTTCTCTCCATGTGGCTGAGCAACACGTCCACCACGGCCATGGTGATGCCCATCGCTGAAGCCGTGCTGCAGCAGCTCATCTGCACCGGCATCGCCGACTCCCTCGAAGACTCGCTGACCGTAGACACGCAGGACGAGGAGAGCGGTCAGTCAGAGCATCCGTCTCAGAAGCTTTGCGTGCATTATGGTTATCATTAGCTGTGTTTTTGAATTGTTTTGTTCTTTGACAGACAAAGAGGAAAACCAAGAATCGAGATAAAATAATTGTTAACTGAAATCAAATTAAATATAAATAACTTAATTGCCAAAGCAACTTTTCTCATTTTCATTAAGTTTAACTTGATGTACTAAAATAATTCAAATTAAATAAAAATGATATTGATATATTTAAAGAAAAAATGACAAACATTTACACAATTAATTACTAAAACTTTAATTAAAATTCACAGAAAGTATATACAAATAAAATCTAATTAAAAATATTAGCAAAAACTACAATAGTATCTCAGTAATACTAAAATAACACCGCCTTGAAATGATTTATTTAAACTATTTATGTAAGTGATAGTAAGCATGCTATTTTTTTGTATTTATAATATATGTGAATGTAAACAAGGCACAGAGAACATATGTTTACTGTCATAAAATATAATATACTTTAGATATTTTTCTAAAAAGAGTAAATTGCATGATTCATGCAATCAGTCATTTAATATGATCTCTTGTCACTTTTAAAAGTTGGGAATGTCACTGAAATTTCTTTAAAATTTTTTGAAAGATTTTTAAGATGCATTGTCTGAAAACAAGTCAGACTATTTGTGATTGATTCCCAGGTAAATACATCTTCTTTTAGGAACATTTAGATGATTATATATATATATATATATATATATACAGCTCATCTGCACCGGCATCGCCGACTCCCTCGAAGACTCGCTGACCGTAGACACGCAGGACGAGGAGAGCGGTCAGTCAGAGCATCCGTCTCAGAAGCTTTGCGTGCATTATGGTTATCATTAGCTGTGTTTTTGAATTGTTTTGTTCTTTGACAGACAAAGAGGAAAACCAAGAATCGAGCAAGAATCACCTTGAGCTGCTGGACCGCAAACACAAGTAAGATACAGTCAGCTGGATTAAACTACATCTGTTAAACAAGCCTATTCATTGCAGTTTCTCTTTGTTTTGCAGTGAAAAACATCAAGTCCGTATACTGAGTGAGGTAAGACAAAATTTGATCGTTTATCAGCCCTGCAAAATTATTAGAAAGAAAACAAGAAATAAAGGGGGTTTATGCTTT